ATCGGGTCACATTTAGGTTAAGTCCATATCGAGTCGTGTTCAGGTCGAGTCGGGTATATTCAAGTTCGGGCTTTTTTCAGGTCAATGACTTGAGTCAATTTTTGGGTTGCGGGTCAAGCCATTTGAGTCGAATCATTCAAGTCGAGTCAGGATTGTCAGGTCTACAAATAAGCCATGATTTAAAATTTGATGGGATTTTTTTTTTAAGTCAAAATTTCTATATTCTAGTTTTTGTTGTGAAAATAAGGGAAAACATCAAGTTTTAGAGAGAATTGATGTGTGTATGTTATTCCATATGATAGGGGTATATATACATAGAATATAATAAGTAGTGTTTGCTTAGATAACAATAATCCCTAAATCTAGAATATTCCAGAAACATACAAAGAGGATAATGTATATCCACGCAATATTTTCATAACACTCCCCCTTGGATGTCCATTATCGAAGATTGTGCCTCATTAAAACCTTACTATGAAAAACCCTGTGGGATAAAAACATAATGAAGGAAAAGAGTACATCATTCTTTGTAATACGCTCGAGATGCTGCCTCATTAAAAACCTTACCAGGAAAACCCAATGTGGGACAAAACCATGGCCAAGGGAAAAAGAGTGCAGCGCGTATTTTCTCCCCCTGATGAATACATAACTTGAGATCTTCTAGTGCCGCAACAATAAATCCAATATGTTTGGATATCTTCTCATATGTAGTAAGTAAAAATATCATTCGTTGATCTTCGATTCTCCTAAGCTAAAGTCGCATCTTCAATTCTTCAAGTCTTCACGTGAACATGTGAAGTGTCTTTATTTCACCATACATGTTTTTATCTCTAATATCATTGTTTCAAATCTCTGTTTAATAGTTGATTTAAAAATTAAACTTATGCAATTATGACTTCTTCTGGAAATCGTTAATAACAGAAATTGATGATCATTATTTGATCAAACATTCATTAATAATCATTTGATAATATTATTAATGTCATTATTCAATCTCATATGAATTATATATAACATATGTAATTATATACATTGATCATGGTTCTTCTAGACCATAGGAAAACAGTCTCACACATAAGTATCCCGTTTTTTTAGAAGTTTCGTAATTAACTACACGATAATTTTTCTGCGAATTCAAATAGTAAATCTCACTAACTCGTATATACTCAAACTTTAGGTTGAGATGTCAATGAAGGTTGAGATGTCAATGATATAGTCACATAAAATTTTCAAGAGTTTGATTTTTGTAATATTCAAAAATTTGTAGGGCTGGGCATTTAAATACATCGTATATAAGTTCTTTAGGAACTCTTCTTACATGATTCATAACATGTTATTAAATCAACGTTTCCAATAATTTCATCACAACTATAAGCCCATTGGAATATAAATATTTTTTTTTGTGAGACATACTATATATATTTTGAACAAAGATTCACATATACAACAATTATTGTATAGAACTAATGCAGCAATATGAGATATAGAAAACAAAATATACAATGAGTAATGCATCTAACAACTTTCAATATACGCAATGAATAATCCATTAACCTATGACTCACACATGTATATGAACATACATAAGACTCTAAATAATGCAAGACACTGTATAGTGTGGATTTAAAAATCCATATTTCATTAACTTCTGGTCCATGATAAACTTATGATTATTATCATTATGTCGCATTAAAATAGACATATATTTCAGATCCCTTATTCACTAGTCCACTCTATTATGCATATGCACATTATTCATCAGTTCCATTGTATACCGATATTATAAAATTCCTTTAACGTACATTTTGCATGCTATTTTACTATGATATATGAATACATTTCTTATTGGTACCATCATAACTTTCTTACTTCATGGGCCATCTATTATAATAATTCATTCACTATGGTATTTATATACTATTACACTATTAGTGCTAACTACACTATCTTGCAAAATATCATATCTATTAAACATATCTTTATTTTGGAACCGATCATATACAACCTACACTTCAGGTGTAGTGATTCAAGTACAATTGGCAACATTTTATCTCAATGTATACACATAATTAATATGACAAAAATGTATCTTCAACGCTATGCAACATGAATCTTAACTGAATACAAATCAAATCATAAATGTGCAACATATCTTGATAATATATATACAAAAGTTGGCATATATACAACTTTTCAAACTACCATTATAGGGATCATAAATATTCTTTATTGAATTTAATTTTTCCAACTTTTGCTAATTCGTTCTTCTCCCCCTAAGTTGGTAAAATATCTCATTTATAGGGGCATCTTATTGTATACCAACTTAGTAGATAAATTTGCATTAATAAAATTCACTTCATTAGAAAAATCACAATCAAAATTTATTTCTCGAAAGATTTGTATTAAACAAGATTTTATCTCTTCTAAAGAGCAATTTTTAAATCATTTCTTCATTAACTATACATTGCATAACACATATGTATTTATTATTAAATCTTTCATAATTTGTTCTCTTCAGGAGATCAATAATTCAACATCAATGGGGAGACATATGTTGTGCAGTTGAATTTCCTTCTTTTCCATTTATTATGTGCTGACATACAATAACCCCCAATCAATAGAGTTGTTATACAAGCATATATTACTTGCTTGTAATTCTACTAGGTGGTGATCTGTTGGATCTTTAAAGACTTAAATAGTGTATTTGATGAACTTCTGGTCACTTAATAGTTGACAATAATATATAAGTTATTTGGGTGAACTTCTGGTCACCCATTACTCTTTTATATAAGAAATCAAAACCTATTAACTCTTGAAATTTTCATCAATACAAATGGTTATGAATCACAATTCAAATATAGCTCAATCTCAATGTTATGTCTTGCTATTCAATTCATTTCATATATCTAACATTTGAGAGAGCGTCAGCACATTATTAAATGAAACTTCAGGTTTCCATAACGGGTAATTATTCAACCCGGATGGCCTAATTTAATTATCACATCCAATCACTTCTCTAAATTAAACTCTTGTCAGTTTTCCAACACTAGTGATCACTTTATTAATCTTACGTTATCCATGGCCATGAATTTGATGTGAGATTTGAACACCAACATGTGTTTCTTTATACAATTGGCAAGACAATCAACAAATATTTTATCCAATAGTTTACTCATACTCTGCTGGATTTTGGACTATAATCTTGATACATGTTAATCTTGTTGGATATTTCATACTCTTCTGGAGTCTTTTATATAATCATGAAACATATAAATTTTACTAAAAGTGATTTATTCTAGAAATGTAATGGGATTATCATTTCCTCAAATTTGTCATTGTCAGTAGTTGCTCCATTCCTATTCTTAAGGATGTTATATTTTAACTCTATGGACTACAAAGCTTTAGACATGTTTAGGTTCATTAGTAAACGATGTTGTCCTTCTTGCACAATAATTTTAATTAGAGCATTATAATTAGTATATGATCAATGACATTTATATCCATGTTCAAGATGATATCATTTCAAAATATTTAAATAACATGTGGCCACTTCTATTAAGTAAATCGTTAATATTTAAGTTAATGTATGAACCAAACTGACCATCAATATATTTTATTATTTATGTGCAAGGATAAAATAATGGAATAATTAATACAGTCTTCCCCTAATCCTTGCACATAGGACATGAAATGAACCAACAGCATTTAAATCCCATCCACAAGGCATAAATTCTTTTAGCAATACAATGTATCAAGCATAATAAAGTTATTCTTACAAACTTGTTCTTACTCGTAATTCTTGCCCAATTATATTAATTTCTTATAAATATGGGCATAATAAATATGTTTTTACAAGTAAGCTTCCCACAATGTCATCTATCTCTTGCTCAAATAAATATTGTGCAATCATGTTTAATTTGCAGATAGTATAATTTTGTATGAATTATATTCAGCACAAAAACATGCATGTATCATCTTAATCATACAATTATTTCTCATTTATTTTAGGGAGTTAGTATATCTAGTAATATATGATTTACCAATTCACACCCACCCAGGGTTCGGTGTCGTCTAGAATACTATTGTCTAGCCTTTTATATATTCTTTCTCATGGCGTCAAGGAAAGAATAAATGTATAATAATAGTCTTGCTCATATGTAACAAATATTAATCGTGCTCATATGTATAGACTCGCGATCTCATCTCATTTATAAAATCAACCAAATGAATGTATGAGCATCAAAAAAATTAAGATGATAACATTTAAATAACAATTATTAGTCACTCCAAATATATCGGTCCAAATGAGAAAGTTAAACAGGTTTCATGCATGTCCTATATTTTGCAAAATTGCAACAAATATCTTTATCTATACTTGGATATAATGTGAATTATTAAAAAGTAAAGAAAATATAGAAATGTTCCAATCCAAGACTATTATCACATGTCAGCTTTCAATCTTTCATATGCTAGTATATAAAATCATATATACATAGATCACTAGAAAACATGAGAAGTAGTAATAACGAATGGATCCCAACTCACAAAGAAGCATCATGTTATATGGTGAGGGTTATAGTAGAGTATATATATATATATATATATATATATATATATATATATATATATATAGCAAGAATAGGATGTAGAATATCCTAGCTAGGGCTGGCAAATGGATCAGGTCGGGTCGGGTTCGTGTTCGGGTCACCTAAATTTCGGGTCAGCTACCCCTAACCCGAACCTGATCCATTTAATTTTTCAGGTTGAAAACCCTAACCTGAACCTGATATTTTCAGGTTCGGGTCAACCCGAAATTGACCTTATTTGACCTGATTTTTTATTTGGATTAAAATCAGGTTTCTTTGACCTGAAATTAACCCGACCCAAACCTGATATATTCAGGTTTGGGTTAACCCAAAATTGACCTGAATAACTTTTTTTTCATTTCAAATACAAGTTGTTCAGGTTAAGCATTTTAATTCAAACCAAAATTAAATAGCTTAGTCTAACAAAGTAACAATCCTACTTAACGATAATAAACCAATAAAAATTGTAATTCACTAATTACAAACCAAAGATAAAGTTTTAATAACACAAATTACAGTTTTCAAAAAATAATAGAAGATGCAATAAGATTTTCATTTGGATTAAGATCGGGCGATGTTGGGACTGTCAATTTGTCATGGTTGTCATCCTTGTTCACCACCTCAAGCTTCAAAATTGATCCACAACATTTCCAATTGAACATGGGTGGGCTACTTCTTGCTGCCAAACCTATAAAGAAAAACAACACTAACATAATTTAAACATGCAATTCTAAATCAGACTATATTATCTAGATCTAACTAGTAAGATCTAAATTAAAACATGCATGCTCATGATAAACAAAAGTAAACAACAAATATTAGCAAGAATCACCATAACATAGACAACATTTAACAATAAAAATTAGCATTAACAATAAAAAATTAGCAAAAACAACCGTATAATAACATAATCAACAACATTTAACATCAGAATTTAGTAATAACACTTGAAAATTAGCATGTAAAAAACTAAAATAAACGGAAGCAAGTAAATATAAAATTAACAAGAGAAGAATTAGAAAATAAACAAAACTAGCATATAAAAAACACGAAAAAAAAACAGAAAATAAATTAAGAAACAAGATACCTTTGATGAAGGAGAGGAATTCGTGGAGGAGTGAAGGATTCAAGCCGTCAAGGAAATGGCAATGGTAAAGTTGGGCTTAACGGAACTACCTCTGTCGAATTCAACAATGAGTTTTTGAGGAGAGAGAAAATTAAAGAGAGAGAAGTGAGGGGAAAAACGGCTGAAGATCAATGAGGGGAAATGAGTTCATTTAGGGTATTGAATTTATATATGGAAGCCTCTTTGTGAATTTGGGCTGGGCTTAATAAGCTTTTTACGTTTTTTTTTCTTTTTCTTACTTAAATTAGTTCGGGTTATCAGGTCAGGTTCGGGTTGACCCGACCTGATTTTGACCTGAAATTTATTTCGGGTTAAGTGGGTCGTTTTCGGGTTGAGATTTTCAACCTTAACCTAACCCATTTAATTTCGGGTTCGGGTTCGTGTCGACCCATTTAAGTTTTCGGGTCGGAAACCTCAACCCTAACCCGCTTTTTTCGGATCGGGTTCGGGTCGGGTTTTCGGGTCGGGTCAGTTTTTGCCAGCCCTAATCCTAGCGCATATATATATATAATGCAAGAAAAGGATGTAGAATATTCTAGCGCTTCATATTACAATCATAATAATTATAATATATGTACCGGAACAAAATCTATAAATTCTAATACAAGAATAATGGAAAGATGTGTAATACAACATGTTGTGATACCATGAAAGAGTTGGGGAATGATAATACTTTCAATAATCAAAGGAAACGTATTTCTAATACAAGCAATGGCTAAGTCTGACTAGATATATTAAAGCTAATAATACAAAAGATAGCTACATATACGCTATAATAGAAAATAAGATATGCACATAGATTCTTATCGTCTTATAGTTACAACAAACAGCTAGCAATAGGATTAGGATAGAGTTGAATAATTCATCTCTTATTGTCTAGAGTATGCATGCAATATATTATAAATTACACTAGATTGCAAATTACTAGCAATACATTATATATCTTTAGCCACTTTTTTAAAAATCATGTAGTAGACTAGCTAGTAGTCATTATTATCAATTTATCATCACAATTATAATTCATTAATCAACTAATGATTATGCGGCATAATTTCTTATCAACACATTCAAAGATCCACGTGGTTAATTAATTAATTATGACACCACATATAAAATGTATGCTACAAAAATAGTGCAAAGAATTTAATCATTGTAGCTTAAAAATAACACAAATCCATACATAGAATATAATAAGTAGGATTTGCTTATATAACAATAAACCCTAAATCTATAATATTCCGGAAACATACAAAGTGGATAATGGATATCCACACAATATTTTCATAACAGTTTTTTATTTTTATTTTTTTTTAAAAAAAACATATATACAAGTAGTTTCTGTATTAGTATATCTAATATTCACTTTTTTTTTCTTTGATAGATCTAATATTCATTATTTAAATCTAATATTCTTGATTTATGTAAAATGCTCAATTTTAGACTCACTTGGCCTCTTTTCACTTTGCCATGTCCCAACTTACATGTGTGTTATTCTTTCATAAGTATTTCTAACTAAATATGCCTGAACCTTAGTTGCATTCGAGCACTTGTATCAACGAGTATTACTGGTCATACTCTTATTCAGTATGCCTACAAACAGATCCTAAGATGGCACATTTAGATTGTACAAACCAACTGAATTAACTATTTAAAATGAAGCTCTATGCGTTGTTTTGATGGTTCATAAGATGCATAAACTTGTTTCTCCCTTCAACTCCTTTGAACTTAGTCCCTCGAGTAGGGTTTATAAGTCCCTCGCCTAGGGTTCGTCTTTCTTCGTTTTTTTCGTTCCTCGATTTCCATTGTATTCTCTCGAATTCATCCCTCTTTGTGTTCTTTTTCCCAATTAATTTTCTGTTTTTTTGCTCGAATTCCATATCATGTTATTAGCGTTGGTTGAGATGCAATCCCGCAATTATAAATGATAGGCCTCTCGTGGAATTGTCGGGGGTTGGGGAGTCCCCATGCAGAGAATGCGCTTAAGGGCATAATTCGACTTCAGCATCCCACTTTGTCTTCCTCTCGAAGACAAAGCTAAAAGGTAAGGAGTGGGAAAGTGTTAAAAGAAAACTGAATTTTGAGCATTTTTGTGTGCGGACTGTAATGGCGAAGGGCGGCGGAGGAGTGGTGGTCTGGCAATGTTTTAGAGGGATGACATCGATCTCACTCTAATGTCTTCCTCTCGGACCCATATGGACTTCACTCTAAAATTGGAGGGTAAAGGTGAGTGGCGAATTACTAGTATTTATGGCTTCCCCGAGGAAGGCAGAAAGCACGAAACTTGGGCCATGATTGAAAGATTGGGAAGTGGTAATACACTGCCGTGGCTATGTTTTGGGGACTTCAACTGCACTCTTATGCATAGTGAAAAACAAGGGGCAACCCCAAGAGCCAGAGTGAGATAGACGGTTTCCGAAATACTATGGAAAAATGTCAGTTTAGGGACTTACATTTTGTGGGTCCATCCTTTACGTGGAGCAATAATCGTGTTGATGGTGAGAACATACAAGAGCGCCTTGATTGGTTTATAGCTACGGAGGAATGGGTTGATCTTTTTCCTTGCTCGATGATGGAACACTTACCTCAGCGACGGTCTGATCATGTACTTATTATGATCACTATCCAAGAGGAACTAGCTGTAAACCGCAAGAAAAAGAAAAGAAAAAGGGGCTTTAAATTTGAGAAAGTGGCTCCGCGACGACGAATATGGGAACATCATCTCTGAAGCCTAGAATCTTGACCCTGATAGCAGCGTGAAGTACAAAACTGAAACTTGTTCTGTTAAGCTTCGGTCATGGAGTTCCAAAAGATCGACTGATTTTGTAGAAGAAATTAAATGCCGCACATAGAGAATGGCTGCAATTATGTTGCTCGAACCCACTGCGGATAATATTGAAGAAATGAGAAAAATCGATTTGGAGATTGATGAGCTTGAAGGTAGAGAAGAAGCATATTGGGAGCAACGTAGTCGTCAAGATTGGCTTCGTGATGGTGATAAGAACACAGCCTTCTTTCACAAGAAGGCCAAGCAACATCGGCACAGGAACACTATAAAAGGGGTCTTTGATGATGGTGGCAATTTGAGAAAGGATGAGAATGAAATAGAAGCTATATTTGAGAACTACTTCAAATCACTTTTTTCTTCAGCAGGTGGCAATGATATGTAGCAAGTACTTGACGATGTTGATAATCGCATCACTGATGACATGAATGCTGCGCTGACTACGGTTAATGTGCTTGTGGCTTATGAAATGTTCCATCACCTTCGGAAGAAAAAAAATGGGGCTCGGGGTTTTATGGCTATGAAACTTGACATGAGTAAAGCCTACGACAGAGTTGAATGGAGTTTTGTTGAGGGAATGATGATGAAATTGGGTTTCAACCATATTTTTGTGTCCCTCGTTATGAAATGTTTGTCCTCGGTTTCATACTCTATACTCATTAATGGCTTTCCTTCTACGAAATTTGTGCCTAGGGAAATCTGCGCTTGAGCAAAACCGTATGATACATGGATTGAAGCTCGGGAGAAACGTTGAGCCAATTTCCCGTTTGTTTTTTGCCGATGATAATTTGCTCTTCACTAGAGCAAATGAGACTGAGGTCGAGACGATTCTTGACATCCTTACCACATATGAGATTGCTTCAGGTCAAAAGATTAACTTGGAAAAATTGGAGGTATCCTTCAGTCGTAATGCTAGTGCCAATATGCAAGAAACGCTTCAATCGAAGTTGAACTTTACGCAAGTTGAGGGTCACGAAAAATATCTTGGTCTCCCTACTTACATAGGAAGATCCAAGAAAGTTGTTTTCCAAGTAATTCAAGATTAGGTCTGGAAGAAAATCAAGGGATGGAAAGAGCGGTTTCTGTCAAGAGCGGGTAGGGAAGTGTTGTTAAAGTTGATGGCTCAAGCAATCCCGGCCTGTGCAATGCAGTGCTTTAAACTCCCGGAGTCCGTCATCAACAACATAAATGCAGTTCGCCGTGATTTTTGGTGGGGTCAAAAGGATCGTGAGCGGAAATTAGTGATGATTAGCTGGGAAAAAATGTGCAGAGCTAAGAAGGATGGGGGTCTCGGCCTTAGAGATATGAGAGCTTTTAACATGACTTTGCTTGCAAAACAATGTTGAAGGCTTATTGAGAACCTGTCTTTTATGGTCGTTAGGGTCCTTAAGGGCAAGTATTTGCCTCGCTCCTTGTTCTGGGAGGCAAAACTACCACCATCAGCAAGTTACACCTAGCGTTACATCTTGAGTGCAAGAAGTATGATCTTGGAAGGTTCGAGTTGGGTGATAGGCAATGGGCGATCTGTGAAAATTTGGGGTGATAAGTGGGTTAAGGGGCTTTCTGGCTCTCACCTCTCAGCTCTCTTTATTACCTTGCTCCGATGAATTGAAAAATTCAAATGTTACTGACTGGATTATAACAGATGATGATGGTTCAAAGCATTGGCAATTGGGACAAGTTTTACCTAACATGAGGCCCAAGCAATAAATAACATTCGCTTGCCTCAAAGAGAGCTAGATGATTTTCTACGATGGCATGATACTAAGAATGGTGACTTTACTATTCATTTTACTTATCATTTTGAACTCCAAAGAAGCAAGTGTTACGCAGGACCCTCTCTAATTTGGGAAGCAAAGGTACCTCCAAAGGTGAAGTCCGTGATATGGCGTGCGATGAAAAGAGGCCTACTTGTTCGTGAAGAGCTCTATAGACGGGGAATGCAAATTAATCCCATTTGTCCCCGTTGTGGGGAGGAGGGGGAATCTCTAATGCATATGGTTGTCTTATGCCCGGAAACTCAGCTAATTTGGAAGCTCTCACCCTTGAGACTTGACATGGCCCTTGGAAATATGCCTCAATTAGTGAGTGGTGTGGTGACCGGGAAATAGCTGGGAGATTTTTCTGATGTTTTGCTGGAAAATATGGGAGATGCGTAATTTGTGGATTTTTTAGAAGAAGAAGGTTGATGTCTCGATGGCATGTACTAAGACCCTTATTCTTCTGGGTGAATCCACACTTTGGGAATCTAGCGACCCACCACCGGCGAACAATGACAACACCTTAGGATGGACAGCCCCTCCTCTAGCAAATTTAAGCTCAACACAGATGCAGCATTATCAAAGGAGGGCAAAACTGGCTTGGGGATGGTTGTGCGTGATCACCTTGGGGATGTGCTAATGTCTTAGAGGTAAGCCTTGCAATGGATCGTCTGATGTTTGCTACGTGGAAGCCCAAGCTATGTTTTTTGGCCTTAAATATGCATGACGCTGGTCTAAGAAGGCTGGTGATTTCCTTTTCCTCGGACTGCCTTCACCTCATCAATATGCTGCATTCAAACAAGAGAGAGAAGGCAGCCACTCAACTTATTGTGGATGAAATTCTAAGTATCGCTAGTGTTTGTGATTTTTGTTGTTTTGTTTTTCAGTCTAGACTATGTAATAAGGTAGCTCATTCCCTTGC